ATCCCCAATCGAGGGTTTATCTTCATTACATAACTTGACTATCAGTTTTCCAAGTTCCAATGAAGTCACAGATTTTTTTCACCATGTTTACAATACAAGAGCCAGTAAACAGTCAATGTAATTTAGTAAAATACCCTATTTTATATTCTTACCCTAAAAATTTTCAATAATGCAAAATAATTATTAGATTTTATGGATTTATTTAATCGTTCTGATGTTTTTGATCATCTATTTTTTTCAAATGTACATTTATTCTTATAACTTTATCAAAATAAGTTTATTGAACTTCATATTTTGGAATTATATAATTTACCTTTATATCCTTATTTTTCCTTGATAAAATGTTCTTTGAAGCTTTAAAATAAAAAGTTATTTCACATTTAGGCTTTTTCTTAACATTGTTCTAATCTTTATGCTCACTACTATATATATATATATATATATATATATATTAGAAACTGTTACATTGGAACATGCAAGTTACCACGACAAAAATGCATATTTCTTTCAACGTCCAAAGACGTCTCGTCAGGCAGCTAGTAGTAATAAACGATTTTATTTAAAAATACAATTTATGAAACATCACTTCTTTTAACATTTTTGAAAATTTTCCATAGAAGGCAAAGAAATAACTATATAAAAAATTTATTCATTTCTTAAAAGAAAAAGAGAGAAGAAAGCAAATTAACTTAAAAAAGAAAAGAAAATAAGAAACCAAAAAAAAAAAAAAAGAAAAGAAAGAGGCAAAAAACGAAAGGTATAAGAAAGCATAAGAAATGAACCCTACTACAAAGAGAAGGAAAAGAAAAAAGGAGAGGAGTATATCCAAATTTTACAGATACAAATGAAAAGGAAATAGAAGAAAATAAGATGTGAGAAATTGCTGATATTAGATTTAACCAATGAAGACATGTTAAGATGGAAAATTCAAAATTGAATGGAAATATAACGTGACAAGATAGGAAATGTATTATAGATACAATGTAGCAATTGAAACTTTGACATTTTGAATGAAATCACATATTCAAACAAATTAAACATAGTACATAAATAAGACACTTTAAGAAGAAAAACCATATACAAACAAAGCAACTACTTAACTATACCAACCTTACATTATTAATTAGAATACAAAATTAAATTTTAAACATTTATATGACTTTTATATATTTATTTTAAATTAAAAACTAAAATAAATTTTAAACATTTATATGACTTTTCTATATTTATATTAAATTAAAAACTATTATCAAACAACACCACAAGTAAAATAATTATAAGCCAATTCATGGCTAACCTTACTACCAGTAATTTACAAATACTAACCTATTTAATATCTTAATCAAAAATAAACCACTAAGGATAACAATAAAATGTTTATATAAAGGTTATATAACAAAAGAGGATGATTATTGAGTCATAACGTTTAATAAGATTGTAAGGTTAATTCCTTAATAACTATGTAACTTGCATGTTCCAATGTAACAGTTTATAATAAATATTTATTGCTCTACTCTTGTATTGAGCCCTTTTTAAATTAATGTTATGAACGTTTGAATTTATATTCTTTTACATTTGGAGATATATATATTGTAAATTGTACAACAAAAGAAATAAGATAAAGAAAAGCAAATGGAACAGCAGGAAGACCAACTAAATTTTATAGTAAACAAAAAAAAACTTTTATTATAATTTTAGTTATTATGGTCAGTGGCTAAAAAGGAAAAAAACAAAAGCTTACCAGCAAGAAGTTAAAAATAAATTACTTCAGAATTACTTCAGTCAGGTGTTGCTGGGTTTTTGTGGTATAGTTTACATATCAGGTTAGTGAAAAGTAGTAGCTGTACTGCTCTGAAGAAGATCTGTATAACAGCTGACTTAGCCAGGGGACTAGCTTAATTTTGTTGCCAAGCAATGAATACACATTCTGGGTGAAAGACCTCCATTTCGTAAGGCCACATCAAAGAGTGAAGTCTTTTATCGAAATGACCCAGAACTCTGAGAAGTTTCATTTATAAAATTAAATTCTCTTAACACTATATAATAAAAAAACAACATATATAAAAAAAAATTTCTAAAATTCCCGGCACCTGTCTGTCATGCACATGTGTTGTCCTACCAACATAATAAATTTAGTCCAGTGAAGTCTTGAAGGATGAAACATGTCACAAATAAACTTTTTCCACTTTGTCATACAATTTTCCCCAATACTGTTCTTGATATATAAAAATATATGTCATTATTTTATATATATATATATATATATATATATATATATATATATATATATATATAGTCATCCACAGACAGTTTCACTGTATCACAGCTCATCAGTGTGACTAGACATCCAATTGCTTCAAGCCGAATCGAAGTCTGACTGATTCAGCAACAGTCAGAGATTTTCCCCCAAGCCATCGGCGCACGATTGAAAGATTCCGTGAATAAACATGCCAATGACTGACAGTGCTCAATTTGGGAAGAACTTCTAATATTAGTAGTATTAGTCATTCTTTTACAAATTCACACTTAACTCCCAAGAGGGCACATCCGAATTTAAGTTTTTCAGGTGTGTATATATTGTCATTCACAGACTGTTTCACTGTATCACAGCTCATCAGTGTGGCTAGACATACAATTGCTTCAAGCCATGATCGAAACCTGACTGATTTGGCAACAATCGGCGATTTTTTTTTTTTTTTTTTTTTTTTTTCCTAAGCCATTGGCGCATGGTTGAAAGATATATATAAGTTGAAAATGCATGCAACTGGAGTCTTTAAGAATATTTATTTAGAGTAATTTTACTGGTTTCACAGTTCTATGATTTCAAAAGTTAAAGTGAGATAGACGTATGACTACACCATGATCAGTTTTGCATCTTGAAGTACACTTGTCTTGATATGGTGGCTAACCACTCCTCATTACAGATATCTGCTCAGGCACATTTATGCTTGTTCAACACCCATAGAGATCACCTGTGGTTTATACTGCAGTTGTACTCAGCAGACCTTAGTTACAGTTTCTCAGAGCATGTCATCTGATGTGATCAATAGTTTGAACAAGAGCAGTACAATCAAACCCTTGGTCACAATGATTTGTGACTTCATGTTAGCACAACCATCAGCTGCTTTTGAACAGAAACAAAAATTTAATAAATTAATAAAAGTATTTATCCATTCATATCTTCATTTAAGATTATCATCCACCAATTTTTGTGAATGTGCTTCCCAAAAATGCCTCACACCTAAAGTTTTTAAATAAAGCTTAGAAAATAAAAAAAAAAATATGCAGACAATGGGTTTCTACTTGTATCCAATTATACCTGTCTGCTAGAACAGCTAGCCAATCCCTGATGCAGATGCCTGCTCAGGCACATTTGTGTTTGTTCAACACTTACAGAGACGCCCCCCCCCGTTTCTACTGCAACTATACTGAACAAACCTTAGTTGCAGTTCCTGAGAGAGCATGCATAATATGCTCACACCCTCAATCATTTGTAACTTTGTGTTAGCTCAGCCATCGATGGCTTCTGAACAGTTCTGTCTACCCAATTTCACTCACAAGGTTTGGGTCAACTCTTTTTTTATTTTTTTTCATTTTTTTTTGTCAGACACTTTTTAAAGATGGTGCATGTTAGATTGATAAACATTTTCTATCTTATTATCCTGTGGGTTTTCAATCCATATTTGATATACATTTGATCTTTAACTCCTTTATATACTGGGTATAAAAGCAAAATTGTCCTCTTGTTAGATTAAGCTTTGAACCATTATATCTTAGAGATGATTAAAGATATCTTACTGGAATTCTCTGAGGTTTTTATAACACTATTGGACTCTAGTTTGAGCAATAAGGATGTATAATTACTCTTCAAGCGTAACAGAAGAATCATGATGAAATCAATCATAAACGAAAATGACATGTTCATCATAAATTAATCATAGCTATGAAGGATTGAAATTAAGTTCAAATATATATATATATATATATATATATATATATATATATTATTCCAGGATCATTTTCCAACTTATTCAAGATGATCTTTGCTTTCTCTAACCTTCTAACTTTCTGTCCTGGAGTAACAAGGTGCCTCACACGTTTCACATACAATTTCATTTTCAACGCTTTTTTTTCACTGCTCTTTGGACTGTCATAGCTGAAACTCCTCTCTCACATGCCAAACATCTTATGAATTGAGTTGGATCTTTTCTAATTGCTCGCTTTATCTCTAAGTTGAAATGATGATCCCTCTTCCTGTTGTGACCTCTTGAACCAGTTTTCCTCTCTACTGTTCCCACTTTTTTTAAACATATTCACCATTCTCTTGATGGTTCTTGATTGGGCCTTGAAGATGGAAGCCAGAGTATGAATGTTGGTACTGTTACTGAAGGCCTGAGTAATTTTTTCCCCTCTCACTATTGCTCATTTAGGAAGAGATTGGGTCTGATGCAAAACAATTTTAACTTGTTCTCTTTCTATGTGAATAAGTCAAAGGGTTTTTTAGAGATTCTTAGAACAAATTGTGTCAAGATGACTATCTTATCTGAAAACCTGGAAAAAAGAAACCCAATTAGTTTAGTGGTTTTTTGGATAATAAACATTTTGTTGGATGGACAATTTTGCTGTTACACCCGGTATGTATACATGTATATATATATATATATATATACACACACACACACACACAAACACACAGAGGGTCTTGGAGAAATACCTCCCATATAATGGTAAGACATTAGCTAGATGAAAACAACATTGCAACTAAGGTCTTATCAGGTATTTCTAGGAGGTATTTCTGCTGTATCCTATATATATATATAATATATATATATATATATATACACCACACACATGGGGTGTATTTGAGATCAAGTATTATATTGCTTATAGGTTTATATTTAGTTATACCAAAAAGTTTTTTTTTTTTTTTTTCAAAATTTAACTAGACAAAGTTGATGCCCAGAAATAAGGAATATATTTGCTTTTATTATTCTTTGCAGGTCAGTACTGCATGCCTGAAGATGGTGTAAAACTGACCCCAGCTGAACATCTTTTAACAACAAAAGAGATAATAACATTATCTTCAATGTTTGTCAAAAATGGAATAAAGAAAATACGTCTCACTGGTGGAGAACCATTGATAAGGAGGGATTTACCTCATATTGTCCGTAAGTTTAGCATTTTTTTTCAGCACTAGTAGATATTAACAAGAGAAATAAATGAATGGCTGCTTAAGAATAATAGAATGTCTTGAAAAAAACTCCTCTGATTTTAAGAAAGACAAATTAGAAGCCTTGTTTTAATTTGACCTATAACAAGAGAAATAACATTTATTAACAAGAGAAATAAATGAATGGCTGCTTAAGACTAATAGAATATCTTGAAAAAAACTCCTCTGATTTAAAGAAAGACAAATTAGAAGCCTTGTTTTAATTTGACCTATAACAAGAGAAATAACATGTATTAACAAGAGAAATAAATGAATGGCTGCTTAAGAATAATAGAATGTCTTGAAAAAAACTCCTCTGATTTAAAGAAAGACAAATTAGAAGCCTTGTTTTAATTTGACCTATAACAAGAGAAATAACATGTATTAACAAGAGAAATAAATGAATGGCTGCTTAAGACTAATAGAATGTCTTGAAAAAAACTCCTCTGATTTAAAGAAAGACAAATTAGAAGCCTTGTTTTTTAATTTGACCTATAACAAGAGAAATAACATTTTAATTAAATGAATGGCCTATAGAATGTCTTGAAAAAAAAATCCTCTGATTTAAAGAAAGACAAATTAGACTTGTTTTATTTGAGAGAAATCAAGAAATAAATGAATGGCTGCTTAAGACTAATAGAATGTCTTGAAAAAAACTCCTCTGATTTAAAGAAAGACAAATTAGAAGCCTTGTTTTAATTTGACCTATAACAAGAGAAATAACATGTATTAACAAGAGAAATAAATGAATGGCTGCTTAAGACTAATAGAATGTCTTGAAAAAAACTCCTCTGATTTTAAGAAAGACAAATTAGAAGGCTTGTTTTAATTTGACCTATATTGCCAAATAGGACTCATAGATAATCAAATAACAGGAGTCACCATCAGAAGTTGTCAATTTTCAAAAGGAAGATGAAACGCCTCTGGTACTTTCTATTTGGTATTGAGTTTCTGATTTGAAGATATAAATGAGAATGGTGAGGGAAATCTTTTTCCAAAATAGTGTCAGTAACCTTACTCCAACTAAACTACATTCTCCTATCCAAGAACACAAAAACCTTCTTAGTATTGAACTTGTCAAAAATGAATTTGACTGAAAAGACCAGCATGGAGATTGTTGGTGAATGACCAGGTTGCAAAAGAAAATTTCCTTCCTTTGAGACCCTCTGCGCTAGGGTAACCACAGTAATAACAGACAGAAATAATAATAGTTTTGCAGAAATAATAATAACTTGTTTTGTAATTTTTCATTTGCCCTGCTGAAAAAGGCTAGTATGGTAAATTAATAGATTTTAGATAGAAGCCTATAAGAGGTGAAGGGATTTTTATAATATACCTCTGCCCTCACCTCTTCTGCCAATCCAAATGGAAATCTACTAAAGAGGAAGAGAATGAGGCCTTCTTGCCTTAGGATTCCCTGGTCGACATCACCACTCTACTCACATAAGTCTATTCTTCATTATTTCCAAGAGTATTCTTGGAGGTTACATATCTCATCAAATTAACTATCAGTTTCATTGATGAAACTTGTATGAAAGAATGGCACACAGACTTTGTTCATTTCAATCCAAAGGAATGATTGCTAAAAACATTCCCAAATTGCTTATAGACAAATCATGCAAATGCATGCTGGGATTTCTTCCTAACCAATAAAATGGACCACTTCTCAGTCTATTCATCCATATTTTTTAAGTCAGAATCCTATAATCACTTGACTGTATCCCTTTTGCATGTTAACACCATTCTTTTTTTTTAACTTTTTTGCCATACTGTTGCATTGCCTACTTTTTTCTTGTATATATATTGTTTTCCTATTGTTTGAAAACTTTGTAAATTCTGTCTGTTAGGTATTTTTGTCAATTATACCTAACTGGCCAATTACTCTACAGCCTTATTCATAATGAAGATGAATATGTTATTTCTTTAAAAAAAATTGGTTTGCAGCTCAAACAATTGAGAAAACTACAGGGAAAATAGCCATGGTAGCCAAGATCAATTCAAGGCAGTTGTGGTTGATGGGAGCCATAATATAGCTAACATCAACCATAACTACCTTGAATTGATCTTGGCTACCATGGCTATCTCCCATGTGGTTTTCTCAATTATTTGAGCTGCAAAGAAAGGAGGGCTTGGAGAATCTGATACTCACAGGTTGAATAGAGGGAAAAAGAGACAAGGGAAAGTAACACATGACATACTGGTTGGGCTTAAGCAAGTGGATGGCAGAACGTGGTCTGGAGGAGTTGGCAGAGGTACGAAACTTATTGAGAGCTACAAAGGAGAGGGAAAGTGGAGAGCCATGATCGCCTACGTCCTGAAAGGACACGGCACAAAAAAAGAAAGAATGTGGTTGATGGGAGTCTATTGTTGGAACCTTTCAGCAAGTGAACACTAATTTAATTTTTGTGCTAAAAATCATTAACAGTACATTTATACAGTTATACATAGAACCATATTCTGTCCCGAATAAATTCTTAACCACTGAAAATCCATTTTTTTTTTTTTAATTTACAATTCATCTTTCTAATAGAAATCATTAGTAATACATTTACATATAATAACCATATTATATCAGTAACATTTTACCTTAATTTCTGACCACTATTTTCCTACATTAAAATCTCTATTTTACTACATTGTAATGGGACACAAGTGAGTGATATTTACTATACATTGGGAGCCACAGAGGAGACATGTTTCAGCTAAAAAGAAGTTGTCTGTATATTTTCAGCCATTAAAAACTCTTATGAAATGTACATATTCAGACAACTGGGACAAGAAGGACAGTTGATCGATAAATTTCATGTAACTTCAACAGGCGGGTATGCATTGTGAATTCTCTGACTTAGAGAAATAAAAGATCAGATTGTCTTTAAAGGAAATTTTGATCCATTTTGTTGATTAGCTTTTTTGAGACTTTCTTAATCTAAATAACCTCTTAAAAGCTGGGCATGCGTTTTTACTGCCAAGTGGTGTCATTTTCCATCACAATTAAAATACAAATGAGATTGTATTCTCTGAGCATTTTGGTTCAATTTACCTGGTTTGAATTTCACCTTACTTACAGTTTCTGTCTATTGACTAGCTTCAATAAGGGCGGCCTCTAAAGAAGACATTTTGATAGTGTGCAGCTTTTGTAATTGTGATAAGTTTTTGTCAAATGCCCAATACACAAACTGAATGTGGAAACAATAAAATAAATTTTTTAATATTTTTTTTTCTATTGCTTGCTAATCTCCTAATATGTAGGTTGCTTTTGCCAAAACGATTATAAATAGGCAATAATGTTCTCTCTCTTCCTCTTTTTGGTTTTTTAACATTTGCTTCCAGATGTAGCCAAATGTCAATAAAGAATGCTGCCACTGAGGAGCATTCATTTCATTGGTTCTCTGTTAACTTTTGAACTCCCTCACACAGCTTTTTCTTTTTATTTTGGCTGTTTGTATTAGTTTATGCAAGGTTCAATTGAAATTTTCAGGTTTGCAAATTGGCTTGTGGCCAGACAGGTGTAACAGGTTGATGATGGAAACCAAGGACTTTTGCAAAGCCCTTGCCTCACCCTTCCAATGAGGTCCAGTATCTGTTTTTACGAATACCAATAGTTGGGAATATTTTATCAAGTGTTGGTATAACAACTTTAGCCTTTATTGAAGCAACAATTTCCACCTCTAGATATCTACTGTATTCATCAGAAATTACAAGTAAATATTCCTCACTGGGTACAGGTTCAAAAATATCTCCTGCCAGATTTTCCCAAGGGGCATTTGGTAATATGGTAGGTTGCAGTGGTTCTCTAACATACATAGTTGCTTGACAAGGGAGGCAGTCCTTGATTGCATAATTTACTAACTTGTCTAACTAGGAAAACCAAAGCTTGGAACAAAGTAATTGTTTAGTTTTTACTAACCCCATGTGACCTTCATGTGCCACATTTACAAACTTTTTCTGCAAAGCAGCAGAAATAATGATTCTATCACCCTGCAACAGTATATCAGATTCAAGTTTACCCCATATTAGAACATATTTGTAGGTGATTTGATGTTCTTTAACAAATATTTCATCTCTGATAAATGTTATCACTTTCAGTACCTGATTTAACATCATCAACAGTCATTGCAGTAGGTAAATCAGTAAAAATAATATTATGAACATAAGCTTGTAAGTCTTCAACTATTTTCAACTTCTCTTTTGAAATTTTAGACAGTGACAATGGATAACAAGACTTGTAGTCAGTTGGGTTGTGATTCCCAGGATGATGTTTAATATGAAAATGAAATCCAAGTAATTTTAAGTGCATCCTTTCTACTGGGGTTTGTTAAACAGGGAAACTAAAAATTGATGTACTGTTTTTAAGATTGTGAACATTAATAGATTTTAGATAGAAGCCTATAATTAATACCAGATTTTTATTTTTATAATTAATACCAGATTGTATGGTGGGTTAATGTAGGAGTAGTTCAATAAAGGAGTACAGTGCTGTGATTTTAAAAAAAGACTTAAAATATATTTATTATCTTACTATTATTATTATTTTGCTATTTTACTTTTAATTATTATTTTGCTTTATTTTTAAAAATTGTTTTATACCATATCCCTTCAGGATGCAAGAATTGCAAGATTTCTTTTCTGTATTATCTGTGAATTGTCATGACTTTTTGTGAAGACTGTGAAGATGTTTCCCAACGCCTTCTCTATGGTTTGGAATTCATTTTTCTTTCTCTTTGACTGGTTGCTGCCTAAGGCTAGTGAAACTAGTCTACCCTGCTATTTATCTTATAGTTGGAGGCAGGGAGAAGAGATTAATTAATGTCCTTTGTCAAGAGTATTTGTATAAAAGTAAATCCAACAGACTAGCTGGGATTTGAACCTTGCTTGCCACTTTCACTTTCCATACAGATACCTATTACACTACCCACACATCCTCTTTATACAAGTTTCAAATACAGTTGATGCTACTAGAAAACTATGCTTACTGTTTTATTTATCTTTACCATCAGAATTTACTGCGTCATTATTTATCTAATAATTTGCAATGATCTGAATTGGGACAATTATATAGTTACCAAGTGCTATATCTGCAGTTAGGAAAGTTGGTTTGCTGTGTCATGCTAGACAATATTTCTTGCCAGAATCTATCTTACACCTTTATAAGTCTACCATTTGTCCATGCATTGAATATTGCTTCCACATCTGGTCTGGTGTGTCTCTGTATCTAGAGATTCCTGACAAAATCCAAAGAAAAATCTTCAATAATATTGGTCCAAACCTGTCATCTTGGCTTCATTCATTTTCCCATGAATATTTTCATGGTCATTATTTTGATACCCTTTCCTCTTTTGTACCTTAACTTCTTGATATAAAATATATACCATGTTTGACGGCATATAAGGCACACTTTTTTTTTACTAAAAATATCTTTTAAAATTCCCCGCATCTTATATGCCATATGTAGGTTTACTAATTTTACTAATTTTTTCTTGATTTGCCCTGCTGAAATTGGGGTGCGTCCTATACACCTGTTCATCTTATATGCCGTCAAATATGGTAAATATCTATATTGTTTGAGTTGTGGCAAATAGGTAGTGTGAGGGAGAATCACAGAGGTTAGAATTGTGCACACAGGAATTGATGGAGACAAATCTTCATTGAACCTCTAGCCAGCCTCTCTGTCCAGATCAAGAATCGGACCAGTTTTATAACATTTGGACACCCATGTAACTTTATGTGGCTACGCCTTCTTCCAGCATGCACCCATGCAAAAATGCATTTCCTTCTACTCAGGACACCTGTGCGGCCTGTTTATTCAAAGCTCAGGACACCTGTGCATCCTGTTTATTCTAGTCACTGGATGCATTTTCTGTTTATGCTATCACCAGTTTCAATCACACACTGATGCAGCAGAAGTAAGGTTAAAGGTCTTTCCTCAACCAATATCCAACACTAGATTGGCAGCTAGGTCACAGTCATTTTACCATTGAAATTGCTAGATGTAATCATAAGTTCTATTCTAAAAGTTTTTTCTCTTGCACTTCTTGCCTGTGGAATTCTCTTTTGACTTCTTGTTTTTTGTCAACTTTGATTTTCAAAAATTTGAATGCAACATCAATTGTCATCTTCTGTCTCCTTGAATCCTGTTATTATCCTCTCTCACTAACATTTTCTCAGTTTCTTTCCTTCTCAGTAAACCCTTGTGTGTTAATAGCTCTATCACTTTGCTTAGGATGAAATGATTTAAAGATAAAAAGAAGTGAAATAATTTGCAAGACATTTCTTTCTATGCTTTCAGTATTTGCTCTACCATTATGACAGTAATTGTTTTCACATAATTGCTTACTAAATCCAAATCATAACTTAATGAGTTGGATAATTCTTTTATTCAAAAGTTATTTGGATACTTGTGGGTTATCTGTTGCCATTTTTTTTTTTTTAGCTCGAGGAGGCTGGCTTTCAACATTTCAAGGTTAATAATCATTGACATAGATGCCAAAGTCCACACTCAGAATATTGAAAATTTGTGTGGATCAGCAAAGGGGGAGGACAAGTGTTACTGAGGAACAGCATCACACCATCTTGAGACCTACCTGACAAAGTTCATGTGAAGAAGGAAACTATCCAATGACACCATTTGACACCATCCTTCAGGCTATCCCCCAAATAATATTATTAATGTTTGTTATTTGTAGAAATAAATATAATTTAAGAAGAAAATAGTATATTTTTACATACCTGTATTTGTGAAAAGCTGGAAAATTAATTTAAAAAGTGACAACAGATAGCCTGCAAGTACTGTTACTTGATTTGATACTATTGTTTGATATATATTTTTTTTTTAAATTTCTATATTTCATCTTTTGTTTTTGTAACAGGAGAAATGGATCACTTAAAAGCTGAAGGGCTGGAGACAATTGCAATGACCACTAATGGTGTAACATTGTACCGAGTGGTCAGTGAATTGAAAAAGGCTGGGCTTGACCTAATCAACATTAGCCTAGACACTTTGGTTCCACAGAAATATACTTTCATTTCTCGCAGGAACGGCTTGGATAAAGTGATGAAAAGTATACAGAAATGTTTGGAAGTTGGTTTTCGTCCTTTAAAGGTAAGTTGGCAATACACAAAATTTCAGTTCCCATTTTGGCTAAAACTCTGAAATATGTGACTTAAATATTTTTTGATGAAAAAATCCCTTATTTTTTCCTGTTCAATCTATAATGTTTGCAGTACAGAACCTTCTTGTCTTCTGTTTATTTGTGTATTTTTTTAACTTATCTGATAAACATAGAATTTGTCTTAATCACGGATAAAATAACTTTTATGCTAAGAGATTTCTCATAGTTATCTCATAAATAAAAAGTAAAATCATTTCTTAAAATAGTTATGTTGAAAGTTTCTCTATGATAAAGATTCACTTAGTCATAGCTCTAGATTTAATGTCAAAATACAAACTATAAATAAATCTTAAAGGAATTTTATTTGTTAATAAAAGAAATTTGTGGGGGACAGGAGGAGAAGCGAGACTATCAAATTTCTTATCCAGAGTATTATGAAAGACACAAATGAGAAAACACAAGACTCTTACTCTGGTGTGAAATTTTGAAAGTGTTATAAAATAAAATAAGACATATCTCGGCTGATTTACAGCAAGAGCAAGAACCGAATGTGAACGGAACAAAACCCCGTCACAAAATGACCACTATCTTCACTTACAAATGTTCTGACACATGTGTTCCGGTCGAAAAATAAAATAATATTTAAAGTGTTCTATTTTTTGTCCAATAAAAATGCTTCCCTCCTAATTATACTTGCTTCGTTTTTCGAGCCTGTTAAGCCATAAAAAAACGCTATAAAAGGGGTCACACGGAAGTTCAACAGGCAGTTAACAGGTGGCCAGCAAACAGACCTGTCACGGTCAGGCCGAGCGATCAGCAGCAGGGGAGCATCAACCACCGTCAACATGTGTGAACTACTATGAGAGATCGACCTAGATCCGAAGCCGGCTTATGAACTTTACCACAAGGTAGCTGTCCCAAACCTACACGTTCCTGTTGAAATAAACCACATAAATCTATTTCTGTTGTTGTCGTATTTCTTTCTTGCAACCATACGCTTGTCTATAACAAAAGAAATTTACATTTATTAAATGACATAAAAAAAATAATAATAGCACAGAATAAAAAATTTACAAAACAAGCTTGCACAAAATTTTCCTTTGTGCACCTAACACTTAGGCAAGATAAAAAGTTTTAATTACAATTCTGTTGGCTTTATAAAAAAAATTATAATTATAATCAACAAAATTTTCACCTGAAAAAAAATTCATTTGAATGTCAAAACGAGTTGTGAAAGTTGATGATTCAGAAGCATTGCTGGATTTGTTGAGACAATAGTTCAGTTTTACAAACTTTACAAAACTTGTATTTTCATAAAAAGTTCAAAACCAGAGTTAATACCACTAATTTTGTGATAAACTTTCACAACTATAGAAAGATAATTGCATGTCTCTCTAAATCTGTAGAAACTTCTGCTTTCTTTTCCTTTTTCTTTCTTTCTACTTCTTCCCATTTTTATTCTTTTGTTACTTCCTTTTCTTTTTCTTTCAGCTACTTTCTTTTCATCATCATAGTAGTCATCATCATCATTCTTGTGATTGCAAAAAACCTCCTGCTTTCTTTTTCTTCTTATCTAAGTTCAACTCCCTGTATCAGCTGATGTCTTCCTTATGAAAGCCAAATCCTTTCCCAGACAAACCAGACTTCTTAAATAACCATGTATTGGCTCCAATTTAAATCAGAAATTTGATACTATGACATTTTTCATTGGTTAAAAATCACAAAATGTATCACTTTAAACCACATCTGTTTGCAAACTTTATTTTGGCAGGTTTTCAGACTTAAGCCTCTTTTTTTACAAATTTGTGAAAAACAAATTTTATGCATGTATCTTTTTTATAAATTGTCAGGCTTCATTTTGGCAGTATTTTTGCAACATCAGTTTGAGTCTCACATATACAAAGTTTTACAAATCAAATTTTATTTAAGTCATTTTTTACAGTTTGGCTTCATTATAGCATTTTTTTTCATTTCTTTTAAAATTTCTTTTTTAAACACTCAGAAGAAATTCTAATAAAGAAATCTAGTCTATTGTATTATTTTGTTTATTTACCCATTATTTTTATGTAATTTTAAATTTCTTTTATATTATATAAATGTTTATACTAAGTTTTATTTAGTCTGACCACCAGGTGCTTACAGTACCTGATGTTCTTAAATTGTCACCTTTTTCTAAGTACTACTGACCTGATTAGATATTATTTGTGCTTTCAATGTGATTTGACTGTAACATAGAAATTTACTCTTCTTAATGGAGCAGAGAAAGCATTAATTAACTTAAATATCACATATCTGATTCATTCAAGGGGATTTTTGAACAATTAACTGCTTGTGATTATTTTTGTGATAAACATGAACTTACATACCTGCAATAAGACTGAGTATCAAAGGGATGGTTTTTTTTCCATGATGCTTTTTTTTTAATTACCTTCACTCCTCAACAATGTTTGTTTTAAAAAAGCGATGATTAAAATTGGAATAAAACCTAAACATTTGAAAGTGAATTTATACATTTTTATTTCTTCTTAAAAACTAACAACAAAAATAATAAACACTATCAGATTGTTTATTTACACAGTATTTACATTAGTCGGACTATTGTCCTCATCTTTGTCGCCATATTCGTCACAACGTTTCGGCTGTTGTACACTCCGGCCTTCTTCAGGTGGCTGGAATTTCGAACTGAACCCTTTATTTTGATCACTGGGGTGGATTGTTCTAGTTCCACGTGCCATGTTTGATGGATGTCAGTTATCAGTTATCTCCTGCTAATTTTCCCTCTGAAAGTTCTCCACTCCCTTAACTGGGTATTGAACTCACATTCTTTGGGTCCTGTCACTGGATCTAACCAACGCCTTTATCCACCGTGCAATGAGATGAGGACAATAGTCCGACTAATGTAAATACTGTACATAATACCTCATCTCAGAAATATAGACAGACTCTGTTTATTTACACTATTTATTATTTATTGGAATAGTTGGCAATTGATTCAAACTTTATAAAATGGTAAATAATAAGGATTTCCTTAGACTTGGTTTAACTATTTTAATAATTTAGTAAATGTTTATAAGTATATGAATAAAAAATTGTTTTCATATTTATTTCTTTATAAATTAGTAAATGATAAATATTGCTTTGTATTAGTTCTAATTGTATTTGTTTTTTTAGAATGTTGTAAATATAAAATTATTCTTGTGAAAAAACAATTTAATAAATAGAGTTTAATATTTAACAATGCAATAGGAACACTTCCACAGGTATTTCGTAGTTATGGAACACACAAGGAGTTTATTTACTCATTAAATATTGGAAAACTGATATGTAGATTTTTATATATCAAGAAAAATTTTATGAAAATCTATGACAAAGTGGAAAATATATTTTGGGTGACATGATTTGTCCTTTAAGGACTTCATCAGACTAAAGTGTTGTTTACATTTGTACATGAAGGAGAGGAGTTGCTGAAATTTTTAGTTTAAATTAAATTTGTTTTTTGTATATGTAATATAACCAATTTCATTTAGTTTCTTTTCCTGAATAAAAAATTCTTTTCATATTTATTTCATTACTAGCAGCATGGCCCGGCGTTGCCCGTACTTAATTCAAAAATCGTACGACTCATACAGCAATCGCTATCACTTGACTTAAAATATTTTTGCCCTTCCTTGCCTTTAAAGGAGGGCCCTTTGCTGTGCTGATGTTGCTACTTGCCTTACTTCTTGCCTATCTCACACTGTGAATTTTTTCTAATCTCTATACTAAACATTAAATCTGTTATGAAAAAAGAACTAAACAAAATGAACACAAAATGATCAGCTTTAAAAAAGAACTCATAACTGGAAAAACCGAATGAAAAAAGAATGTTAACAACAAATACTTTTTCACACCCAACCCAGTTCTGCGGAATCAGAATCAACGTTGAGTTTAAGCAAGTGAATAAGCCAATTGGAGTAAAATGCCATGCAGATTTAAATTTTTCCCACTTGTGACGAATGCAGCTATTGATTTTTTTTGCATGCTAGCATGCTAGTTAACATTCATGTCAGTCAGCTGTTGGCTCTCATGCTGGCCGATAGAATCTTCCTGCCTATTCGTGGCAGCCAGCTATTGGCTCTCACTCTGGCCAGTAGAAAATAGCCGCAAACTACATGAAAACTGCCGTAGAAGCATAAAAAAATCAATTATTTCTACTATAAATGGGAGTTGGGAAATGCAAAGTCAGTCTTGGCCTTCCCGCTAACTTGGAGCATGTGCATGTAAATTTTGGTGCAAATCCGTCAAAAATTGTGGCTGTGTATTTGTTACACACACCCACACACATCCTGCCTTTTATAGATAGAGATATATATACTAGTAAATGAAAAATATTGCATTGCATTAGTTTTAATTGTATTAGTTTTTAGAATGGTGCAAATATAAAATTATTCTTGTAAATAAACAGTTTAATAAATAAAAAATATTCTTCTTATATATTCTCAAGAACAAAAAAAATGTATAAATTCACTTTCATCATATGTTTAGGTTTTATTCCAATTCTAATCATCGCTTTTTAAAACAATAAACATTGCATTATTGACTTACTGTTAAGACAGAGATAAATAGTTGTTTCATCAGCATAAAAACCTAGGTAGGAAGTGAAGACATCAGGAACGTTGTTGATGATGATAAGAAACAAAATAGGTCCAAGAATAGATCTCTGGGAGTCCCTGCATTAATGTGAAAGGCTCTAGAAGAGTGGCCATTCAACATGACATTCATTACACAATTTGTTAAGAAAGATTGCAACATCATAACCCCTCAGGTTGTGAAGAAGACCAGCATGCCAAACCCTGTCAAATGCCTTCAAAATATCTAAAGCCACAGCCCATACTTCACTATTCTTATCTAAAACTTAAGAAACTATTTCAGTAATAACCATTCACATATTAGCAGTTGACCTAGAAAATCAAAAATCATATTGTTTTTCCTGAAACAATGATAAATGATGTAAGATGCTTAACATTTTAAATTTTTTTATTCTCTCAGGTCAGATTTTATAGGCTAAGAAGTAATAATTACTTGTCATTTAACATTAGGTGTTTAATTACAGGTTGGTGGAAGAAATAGTCATTAAAAATGATCTACTTTTGTATAAAATTTGTTGTCACCGTAACAATACTGGAAAATTTTACACAATGTGTGAAGAAAGCGGGTGTGGTTGGTGGAAATTGAACCGTGGTCAAATTTAATGATAATGATTTTTCTGTTTATTGGTTTTTTTTTATAATCTTTGACCATGAATTACATAATTTTTCAGCCAAATTTGCCTGCATGACCTTATTTTTTTACATTTATCTTTTCAGATCAACTGTGTTGTGATGAAAAATCTTAACGATGATGAGATATGTGACTTTGTCCAACTCACTCAAAATATGGTAAATATTTTACAATTGTCTTTTTGTTTTACAAACTGACAAACAAAAGTAATGCTTAAAAATCACTCTTGAAACCATTGTTAACCTATGTTTGTTAATTTCACTTTGTCAGCTCCACTTTTAACAACAAATGAAATCAAAGATCTTACCCGAACTATTACCTTATCTACATTCTTCCCTTTGTGGTCTCATATTCCCACAATTCCACCCATTCTGAATTGTCGGGTCGTAAATTTTTAACATTATACTTTTACAGTAATAATTATAATTTATTTGAATGTATTAATTAAATTCACAAAAACCAAGAAAATCATTATTTCTTTGGCATACTTGTTCATTTGGATCTTTTTTGTTAATGAACAGTACAATCAATTAGAACAGGGGTGGCCAACCTTTTGATTCCATGCACCAATATTTTGTATGATTAATTTAAATGCGCCACACAAACATTCACTTCCTTTCAGTACGTGTTGTAATATGGACATATTTTAAAGTTATAATAAAATCTATTTATTTGAAAAATATATGCTTATGACCAGGGGCGTATCCTTTTAGCACTTTCGCAAAGGACGTGCAATAAATATAAAATCACTGAAATGAATGAGTAGAAGTGGCTTAGTTTCTTTTCATCAAAAGCAATGTGCCACTTGTAAGCATCCAATGCACCACTTATGGCGCATGCACCACAAGTTGGCCATCCTTGAGTTAGAGCATTGGTTCTCAGATTCTCAGGTCAATTTTCTCCCTTTGTGTTCCCATATTTCCTTAATTCCTCCCCATTCTGAATTATCATCTAATAATTTTTTCAACATTATACTTTTGCAGTCATATTTATAATTGGTTTAAAAGTATAAATTAAGTTTATAAAATTTTGGAAAATTGACATTTTTGGTTTCTTTTCAAAACCATTCCACTGAATTCATAGCATTATTATTCAGTTGTCAAAGTATTTCTCTGACCTTGTGTCATTGAAATCAATTGTAATTTCAAAGTAATCTTTATCTAAAATTGAAGTTCCTCTTAGTGATTGACTGTTAGATTTTTTTGCAAATCCGTTTATGGCATGATGACGATAACAATCAATTATGCAACTCTAAAATTAAATTTATATTTCAAAGAACACAACTTGTATATAATTTATGTATAAAAATCAAAATGCAGCCGGCTATGTTGCTGAAATGGTTATGTAATTCGTCAATAGTTGAAATCTGTACAAAATGCTAGGATTTTCAATGCTGATTCTCAATGCACGCAAGCCAAAAGCCCAATCTTCCTTATCCCTTACTTTGGTTCCTGTGCCAGATTCATCTAAATTTAGGGAATATATAGTCATCTAGACAGACTGTTTCAGTGTATCACAGCTCCTCAGTGTGGCTAGACGTCCAATTGCTTCAAGCCAGGATTGAAACCCAAATGATTTGACATCAGTCAGATATCTTACCCCTAGGCCATTGTCGAATGGCAGAAAGGAAGGGAATTTTAATGTTTTTCTCTATATGAAATATGCTAGTGGCTTGGAGAACTCAATTCATACTTATATATATATATATATATACATACTTTAAAAATCAGGAGGTTCATTTAATTCTTTGAGAAATGTTTTTCTTTTCAATTTGGGACCTCTGTCAAGCCAAGGAATGTATGTAGCATGGAATGAATTGTGATAGTCTGAAAGTAACTGATCTGGAGAATATGTCACATGGGAAAGAGCTTTTATCTCTATCTGAAGGCAATAGGTTTGGAGAATATGCTGCATAGTATCCCAGCGCTGCATCAAATTGACATTGTTATGCAGAAAACTTATCACTTGGCTTCCTTGCCCAGAAAATCTTTTTTTTTCCAATGTGTCCTTCAAAGGAGCCAATTGCTCATTGTAACACTTTGTTCAGATTCCAGGAATTCTTAAAGAATTCTTGTAAATACTGCCAAACACAAGGATATTTTAAATGACCAATACATTCCATTTAAGCTGAGTCACTGAAAACAGTTCTCATAATAAATCCATTTTTTATTACCAGTCACCATCTTGTTCAGAAATATCATTTTTTCATGTTGAGCAAAAAGAGAAAAGGCAAATGTTTAAACAATAGCCGATGTCCATTTATCTAAATTCAGTGGGGGTGGTATTTTTTTAATCAGAATTACCCTAAGCAAGGCAGTAAAGCCACTAAGACATAGGGTGTTACTGTGGGTGAAAGAAAAACAGAAAGCAGAAACATTACTAAGGAGTGAGAGAATAATCAAGAGGACAGTAGATAACAATTGACATTGCATTTACATTTTTGAAGATCAAAGTTAACTGCAAAGCATGGAGCCAGAAGAGAGTTCCATAAGCGAGACAGGCAAAAAAAGAAACAGTTAGTATAGAATTTACAGTTATATCTAGCCAATTCAACTGCAAATAGATGAGACCTTGTTGCCAATCTAGTACTGGGCTTAAATTCAAAAAGTCTAGGTACCATAGTGAAGAGCTCGTCCGAACAATTACCATGAAAGTATTTATAGGAAATGCATAGGTAACAAACTTTACAGTGGTGGGAAAGTGACTGAATCTGATATGCTAGGTCAGGACCAAAAATATTGCTGTTCTTTGGATTTTTAACAAGAACCTCTAAATATATAACAGGAGCATCAAACCATATATGACAGCAATATTCTAAACATGGATGAATGATAGGTATGTAAGATAGATTATGGCATAAAAAATTTCTTATAGTCTGAATCCGTCATAAAAATTAAGAATATGGAATTAATAAATTGTAGACTTGGTTACAACAAATTAGCATAGAAGATAAGGAAATTGAACATAGGATAGAGAAGAAGATTTTGTACAACACTACAAGATGTTAGAAAACCAAAATTTAAATCGAAGATCTCAAGTTACATTCTTAAATAGCTTTGTCAGTACAAGATTCTCATATGGATGTCATGCATGGTATCTAAATCGTTCAGAAATGTCTAAGCTATCAGCTATATACAACCATTTTCTCAGATCAATGATTTAAAAGAAGCTTCAGGTGAATGAATCTTCTAGGCTTTAATGAACAGTCCTTCATCAAATTTTATTGACTGTTGCTTCAGAGAACTTTGCCAAATAATGAAAATCACTTAAAGATTTCCAACAGCAGCAACAACTAAAATGGGTAGCATGTGTAGCTAGAAGGGAAAATAATGTCATAAGATGTTGACTTTGCACACTATCTTAAACAAAAGTTTAGAATGGAACTTCCCATTAGTATTAGTAAGAGCTATAATAGTGGACTTGAAGTTTAGTTTTTTGAAAAACTGTTTAAAGAAAGAGTTTATAAATTTAACCTACAGTAACACTAACTTGTTGGTCAGTTGGTTGGTTTCCTGTAAGGAAACAGTTAATATTATAATTACCATTACTATCAAGGTCATCTATCTACTGGAAATTGTTACTGATCTGCTAATGGCAAAGATCACAATTAGTTTCGAGCAATAAAGTTCTTGAAACCCCAAAGTTTGATACCATATCATCAAAAAATATTATTTTATTATTTTAATCTTATTTATTTTAAGGATTTGGATGTTCGATTCATTGAGTTCATGCCCTTTGATGAGAACAGATGGAATTATGACAAGATGGTGTCCTATAAAGAAATGATGAAAACAATCACAGCTAAGTGGCCAGACATCCAGAAATTAGAGGATGGGTTGAGTGATACTTCAAAGGTAAAGATCATTAACCATAATATTAAAACTATGAAAAAGTCATAAAAAATCTGTCAGTTATTGATTTAAAATTTTTTTTCTTTTTAGATCTGCATAGATAAAAAAAAACTGAATATTTTAATAATAATCTGTGCTCATGGAAATTCCACAGGTGTTGACAACTACAATTATCCATTAACTTCTTCTATCTTCTCTGTCTTGCCATTTGCCTGAATCTTCTGATTCTCTTCCTTATCCCTTTCAATCTTCATTTTATACAGACATATGTTAGTTTCATATTCAATTAAGAAAAGTGAAATTATTTTCTACTGTGTCCTCTCTTTTATCTTTCTTTTACTCTATCTCACCATAAAGAATTTTCATGTACAGTACTTCCTTGATTATCCGAACACTTTGTGACGAGGGTTAAAAAAATATACTTGGATAATTCAAAATTCCAGATAATTGAATACATAAATTATCAAAAAAGAATAAAGAAAAAAGCCATTCTTGTAGGAAATTTAATATTTATATCATCAAATGACTTTTTCAAACACTTTGTGCACTCAATTTTTTGCCAGAAATTACCAGGCTTTTTATTCTGTATCTTGCTAAATGGCCACTGAAAGCTGTAGTTAGCCATAAATGGTCTGGGACTCTCTGGGTAAAGACTGCAAAATCTGGTTACCTTCTCAAAAAGAACAGAATTTCTTTTATTGTTGTTCTCGAAAACATAAAGAACTATCATTTTGTTGAAACATTCCACTTTTCATGGATTTTGAACATTTGATGGATTTAGATACTCCTAACACACATTTTGTTCATTTAGAATTCTTCAAATTTTCTTCACTTTTCAAAATATCACTAACTGTGGATTTTCTTATATTTAGCCTTGTTCTTGGTTTTTGGAATTTTCTTCTCAACTATGTCACAAACATTTAATTTCTCTTCGACAGAAAACACTGCCTTTGTCATTTTATCATCCAAATTCTAATTAGAAGCCATTCCAATGTATAAAATAATGAAACTCTAGACTTATGTTGAAAATTAAAACTACAGAATGAGCTGTTTTGTCAGTCAGGAATTGTAACCATTGATGTTAATTTCATGACCATCCATTGATATCAGATACCAGTTGGAAAATGAAGGTAGAGGATAGTCAAGGAAGTAGTGTATTGCAAATTTTAAGCATTTCCAATCTTACTTACTTTTCAGTCTTTCCCTCATTGTCTCTTGATATCTGGCCAGCAAGCTTGTCTCTTTTGTTTCATTCCTTTCTCACTTTTTCTAACTCTTATATTTTTCCTTTCACTTGGTTTTCTGTTTGTTTTTTTAACTTTCTTCCTTCACATCCTTTTTCCCCCTCCTCTGTTACTCCTCCTTTCTCTCCTCTTCCCCTCATCCTTGCTCTCCTCTTCCTCTCGTCCTTGCTCTCCTCTTCCTCTCGTCCTTGCTCTCCTCTTCCTCTCGTCCTTGCTCTCCTCTTCCCCTCGTCCTTGCTCTCCTCTTCCTCTCCTCCTTTCTCTTCTCTCCTCTCATCTCTTCTTCCTCCTCCGTTTCCCCCTTCCTCTTCCTTCCACCTACTCTTTTCCATCACTTTTATCAATTCCTTCCTGCAGGTTTTTCAGCCAGAAAATGTAACTGATTCCATTCCTTCTAATAGAATCAGTTACATTGAGAACAGATTCTACACTATGATCTTAGATAGAAAAGCATATCAATCATACAAACAAGAAGAATAGTCATATAGACTTCTCATTTTTTTCATCTTTATTTCACTAAAGGCTTTCAAAGTTCCTGGCTTCCAAGGACAAATTGGTTTTATCACGTCAATGACTGACCATTTCTGTGGTACTTGTAATCGTCTACGAATTACTGCCAATGGAAACTTGAAGGTAAGACTATTCTTCAGAGCATTCATCTCCCTTTTTTGTTTGCTAATCCATTCTTTTGTCTGCTTGAGTTATACAAGATGTAGAAACAGGTATAGGAATATTTGTTTTCCTTCTGGGTGGGATTATAGTCCTCTTATCTTTCTGTATAAAGAGTGGCAGCTCAAGGGTATTGATAATGTGATACATGCACATTATCAACCAGCTAGAATTGTGATATACAGACGCACATGAATGCTGGCTGACAAGACAAATGTATGTGAAGCCTGCTTAACAAATTAAAAACAAACAACACAAAAATAAAAAATACCAGAATTTTCTTTTCTCCTCTATATTTCATTCCTGGTGAAACTTAAATAAAATTAAATCATGTTAAATTTATAAATGTTTCCTATTTGTACCTTATTTGTTGGATTCTAGTCCATATTTGATCTCAATTCATAGGGTATTATATATGCTGCCTTTTGTCTTACATGGGTCTCATGAAGAACTAACTCAAGGAGGTTTCAAAGAATGATTTTGCTATTGAAAATTACCACTTTCATGATCATCATTGTCCCAGAAGATGCATGTGTAAAAAAAAAACAAAAAAAAAAAAACAGTTGAAGTATGCAATGAAAATACATGTATGTCATTCAAAAATATCATACCCATGAAAAACAGTCTTGTTATAAAAACTGTCTAGAAAAGAACAATGCCTACACCATCCTGAGTAAGATGATAAACTACATCCAACAGCAAGGCTTCTGACCAGGAGGTTTTGAGGAGCATGGAACTACTTCTTAATTGCTGGTATTTCCAGGTCCACCCTGACCTGGGGTGGTAGCACCTGTTAGGGTCCCAGCTATGGGTAAATAGTTAACCCCCAAGCTGAGGTCAAAATACTACAAAAGTCTAAAAATAGGTTTTAATACCAGAAATACTTTGTAAAAAATTATTACCAGTAATAAATTTTGGAAGAAAACTTATTGCCAGCAATAAATTAAAAAAAAAATTTACCAGCAATACATTATTGAAAAAAAAAAAAAATTACCAACAATAAAAATCTCGTCGACATTAAATAACCCATTGAGGTTAATATGTCATAAAACAAACCAAACCAAACAATGCCTACATGGGTACCTCATGTTTTATTTGGTGTCGAATGAGAGAGGAAGACCTCTTAACTTTATTGTATGAGATATCATCATTGAATATTATCTCTGCAGTTTTTTCTCTCTGTGTCTCTTGTAACCTTCTCCAACTCACACTCTGCCAGGCCAGGCTCAGCTGTGGAGTGAGTAGCCATGGTCAAATGAAAAATAATTAACAGAACTGTTCAACAAACAGAATCATTAAGCAATAACAAGAAAAAGAAAGGAAACAGACCAAAAAATAATATAAAGCAAGCAAACAATATATACAAGGCAAAGTAACAGTAATATGGCAAAATGCTTACAAGCTAAGAATTGGCATTGACACACAAAAGCAAGTTTGGACAAGAGAACATAGCATTCTGACTTCAAGACAGGACAAACCGAGACTGAGTCAAATGAAACTTCAAAAAGGGCTATTTTATTGGCTTGGAAAAAATCCCAGCATGCATTTGTGTACTTCTGCCTATAATGAGGAGGGGAAAGTCATTCCTATTTGGATAGAACCCTCACAGATGTTGAAAATTAATATTATATGCTTGAACTTCAAAAAGACAAGTGCAAAAGAGGCTTCAGAAATTTTTGTTACCAATTCATTCTACCAACTCATTTTAAACTTGATAATTATAACATTCTGCTTGAGAAGGTGCTCATTTAACCTTTTAGCATTCAACATGCTCAAATTCACCCCATAAATATTGGTTCTCAAAGTATCACTGTTTTGCCTGACTTCCTACATTATTTGCGATGATGTTATGATATATTATGGCATCAGATACATGGGGCAGATTACGGTGGGTTGAACATGGAATGCTGATATTTACATGGCAGGTTTGGGCAGATTGAATGCCAAAGGGTTAAATATCAGGTTGACAACCCAGAATATGTAGGCTTTTCATTCTTTTGTCTTATTAAGTTTGGTTGATATTAAATTCCTCACTTCAAATTCCAGCCTTTTTGAGGACCACTTTATATTCCAATTTTTATGAGGCCATACACAGTCTGTTACATGACCATGATGTTAGAATGTCTGCAAATCTTCAGTATTTGTTTAGCTGCTGCTTTTATTTATATATTACTTATATCTACATAATTAGATTCTGAAGTATATCCACCCATTCCCTGTTCCAAATGTCAAATAGTGTGTGTGTGTGTGTGTGTGTATATATATATACATACATATATGTAGATATATACACACACACACACATATCGTGTAATGTATGCTCTTGCGTATCATGCAACCTCCAAATTTTCACTTGTAAAAAATGATTTTATCATGTATCTCGTATCATGTAAGTTCCTTTTTTTAGAGGCCAAATTACTAACCTCTTCCTTGATCTCTTTATCCCATTTTCTAGTTAAATAAGTTAAAAAAGTAAGAGAATGATAAAAGTATCATTATTAATGCTATATTCGTTGTGTAAATGCAAACAGCCATAAACCACCGAACAAGCTAAACATCTTATAAACAATGAAAAAGATGCATATTTGGTATGTTTGTATTTTATGCTACAATACTAATATGTGAATATTAAATGCATTATTATTGGATACAGTTAAATAAAACATCAGTTTTATCAAATTCATGTTAATTTTAAATACAGCTGTACTTTTTGACTATTGTAAATGAGTATATAGTGGGGTCCAGCAGTACATATATATATGGGCTGATATATTTATGCTTGCTTCTGTATGTGTATATGTGTATATATAGATATATATATATATATATGTGTGTGTGTGTATATATATATATATATATATATAGACATTTTTATGTTTAACATTCTTTTTATAGATACAAGTATTTAAGTAAATGCTCTGTTTATAATAAACAGTATTAAATAACATTTACCAGCTTGAATGTCCGAGAAATTTTAATAGAAAATATTCGTCCTTTGACAGGATTCGAACCTGTATCCTATACGGAACCGTCATATAGCCTGACATGCCTAACCTCTCGGCCACAAAGGATTATTCGGTTGGCAAAGTCGAATTTCCTGCTTATAAACTTCAATTTTCCATGAATCTCTCACATACATTCATAACTGCTCATGGCGTATCAAATGTAAACAAATGACGTCACACATTATGAAATGGACAAAGTCCGACAATTATTTAAAGACATTTTTATGTTTAATATTCTTTTTATAGATACAAGTATTTAAAAAAAATATATAAGTTTTTTGAATTCTTGTATACTTGTATTTTGATGGGTCATTCCAGCTTATGTAACAGTGTTTCCATTAGGGAGGGGTGTTTGATTGATTTGAACCTTTTAAAACCCTTTATTATGCATTCAGCATCATGACTTGATAAGACACCAGAACTGTTGAAACAAAATGGCTATTTTTGTTGTGATTTTATAACATATTTATGTTATAATTTTCAAATAAATAAAAATATTTGCTCTACTCTGTATTGAGCAGTCTTTTAAGAATAGTATTTGTTGGTTATTGGAATTTATTCCGTATACACCAATCCTATACTTTTGATATATATATATATATATATATATATATATATATATATATATATATATATATTTTTTTCTCTCAAGCATGTTTTGTTAAATAATATGGACAAGTTATGGCTGTAAATTTTTGATTAAATCTTTGTGTCATCAATTTTATTTCTTTTTGTTTAAAGATATTTGAATTTATTCTTAGGTGTTTTGATTATATGATCCTGCAAGGACACTATTGCAACAAAATTTAGATGTTCTCTCATAGAAAGATCAAGACATCCAAATATAAGATCAGATATTTTGAAATGAAACGAAATAAAAATGACAACAAAGATTTAATAAAAAGAATTTACAGACAGATCTTGACCATATTATTAAAAAAAAACATGTTTGAAAATTCTTGCTGCTGAAATGGATAGATGGATGGCTTGCCACTCATTTTCAAGGATGCCCGTCTACTAGGGTGGCTAGCTAATCCCTATTGCAGATACCTGCACATTTGTGTTTGGTCAACATCCACAGAGTTCACCTGTGGTTTATACTGCAACTATGCTGAGCGGACCATTTTTCTGTGCCTGTGTTAGCAAGTGGCAATGTTGTGATAATAACAACAAAGATAAGGATATTAATCCAAATGTAAATGATATACTGTATTTAGAAGACTAAAAGATGCATTTTTGTGTATTTTCAAATGTTCTGATAGAAAAAGTTGTTTTTTTTGACAATTTTATTTCATCTGATGATTAATAAATTTTTAAACAAATTTTCAGGTGTGTTTATTTGGAAATGAAGAGCTTTCTCTCAAAGACTTGCTTCGAAGTAACCTACCTGAAGAAGAGATTTTAGAAAAAATAGAAATAGCTGTAAAAGGAAAGCGGAAACAACATGCAGGTAAATAGTATCTCTCCATTTCTTTGTTTTTTTTTTTTCTTTTCAACTTGTTAAGATTTAAATTTATGAATGAAAATAAGAATTTATACTATTTACATTGTTGGTACTGTTGTCCTCATCCTTATTGTCATATTCACAACGTTTTGGCCATTGTGCATTCTGACCTTCCTCAGGTGATATATGTTGGAATTTTGAACTGAACCCAGTTGTATAGGCTCATTAAGCTTGCCAGAATCTTTTCATAACCTACATTTTGGCAGTTGATTCCTTGAATCTATTGTTGATGGCTGGGAAGGAGACCCCCATATCTGTTTCAGCTTCAGGGCCCCCAAAATAAAGGTCAGCCACTGTTTATAATTGATGGAGAATGTAATGAAATGGATTTGTCAATTAATGATAGCATGAGCAAACTAATAAATAATACAAGACTTAAATTTTTAGAATTTAACTTTACAGTTTATTTCACTTTGATATTTCGGCAGTTACTCTCAGCCAGTCTGTGGTGTAACTTCACAGAGCCCCTTGTTTGATATATGGGCTTTATATTCTATCTACAATGTGTGAGAGACTGCCTAACTCCTCTCTGGAGCAGTTGTTCATATAACTACCCCTGTCATGTATCTTGTTCATATGTTTCCAGTAGAGTCTGATCAAGTGATTGCAGCAGGGCAGCCTGATGGTGCCTGAAGCTAACCTGATGGTCATGTGATTTTGGAACCAGATCATTCTTGGGTTGGATTGCCTCAAAATTCATGAGCCCTTAGCATGAATGTGGAAGAGAAGGAAAGACAGAAAAAAACAGAAGAGAAATAGAGGGAAGGCTCATCATAGAACATATTTGCTCACAAGTTTAAAACGTATTTTATTTATTTTTATTTAACTATCTTTCGAACTAGGATTTGTTTCTTTTTTTTTTTTTTTTTTTAACCTTATGCCTATATGGCTATTGAAATCGGAGGTACATCACACCTTATAAATACAGGGACCCACTGTAGGCACTGTCAGTTGTTCTAGCATGAAGTGCAAAAAGACAACTGGCTGGGTCCCCAGACCAAACTGCTGTCCATCACTGACCAGTCGCACACTCAGCTGGATATTGTGTGTTTAAGAAGAATCTTAGGTTCATCTAAGAGCCAATTATGTACCCATTATAATTAAATGGAAGATAAGGAATCTTGCCATAGAAAGCAAAAGGGATATGCAAAGTTGCAATGGCAGGTGGTTGAGACTTCGTTGAGGTCCAGGTGTTAAAGGGAACATATTAAGGAGACAGGTAAACAGAGAGCTTAATACCTACAGAGCTTTGAATTGCTTCAACCAATCCTGACAATAAATTGATAGGCATTTTAATCATCTGAATATATGAGGCCAGGAACAATTTCACTTGGAAGGTTTGCTCAGATCATTAATCACAATGTAGGTCAGTAAACCTCTGATAAAAATCATCAACCTCCCCACCCCCATCGGTTAATACAGATAACAAAGGAGAACAAGCCTAATCATTATCTTTCATATGTGTTATCCATAAACCAGTGTCAACCATACAAAACTAGTTACTCCTCATTTTTCTTTTCCTCTTTTTCAATTTTCTTCTTTTTCGTTTCTCTCTTTTTTAGTTTCTTTTTTCATTTCTCTCTTTTTCGTTTCTTATTCTTTTCTTTTGATTTTCTATCCTCTTTCCTCTTCTCTTTTCATTCCTTTCTCTTTTCTTTTCATCTTTCCCCTTTTCTGTTTGTTCTTTCTTTCTTTTTCTTTTTCCTTTCTTTCTTTTTTCATTCATTGTTTTTCCTTTCTTTTGTTTTTTTTCCTTTCTTTTGCTCTCTTCTCAATCAGGCTGAAAACTTTTTAGCACCAATTTTCTAAAAGTCAGTTCTATATACTATATTCATTCTCCATTTTTTTTCCTCTCCAGGAGTCCACAATATTCCCAACATGAAAAACCGTCCAATGATCTTGATTGGTGGATGAAGAAATTGGAAAAAACGGTTAGCATTTTCCATAAATTCTTGATTAATAATTGATATATGCCACTCTGTCATTGCTACAAACTTTGGTGACATACATAACACCCTGTTAATTACAATTTCTCAATATTTTAGTATAAGACATTTTGGAATTGAATTCCTTAAAGTTTCTTTTTATGCTGTTGCTTTATCACAAAAAACATCTTTTTTCATCAATATTTTTTTCATATGATTAAATTTATTCAAATTGTAAATTGTTTGAATGAAAATTAATTGAAAGGACAATTACACTGAATGACAATTATTCAAAATACCTATCTTTGAAATACATATGTGGTCTTGCTTTGAGAGATTCAATGCTGATTTACCTAGAACTAATAATGTCCTTGAAAGATGGCATACAGCTTTTTGCAGCAAGTATCATCCCAACATCCCACAACATGGAAATTCTTAGACACTCTTAAAAGAGAACAAGACTTGCAAAAAATTTATATTGCAAAATTAAGAGCAGGTTGTCAAAATATCAGGAGCACCACTAAATACCTTGCCATAAATGGAAAACTTAAAAAATTAATGGCATCTTTTAATGAGTACTCTTCAGTAGCTATTTGCAGGCAGTATCATATAACTTAAAGTTATAAGGATTTTTTCTTACTAAATTGCTTTTATTAATAATATTTGTATTTAGAATAATTATCATTTGTGTATTTCCTCTTTTAATTTTTACATTTTTATTGCAATAAATAATTTTGCATTTTGAATAATTATCATTTAGATTGTAAGAATTTCCTTTCAATTAATTTTCATTCAAACAATTTAAAATTCAAATAAATGTTTTCAAACAGTTATTTTTCATACAATGTTCGCATAATCCATTAAAGGGGGAATGAGTAGGAAAACCTTTATAAATTTGACATGTTTTGCTATTGTATTTTAGCTTCATCAGAATTTGGTGGAAATTAGGTTGATGCAAGAATGTTTCAATATTTTGAATTCCATGCTGTTTGTTTTCATTGGTCAGGTAGATGTTGTGTTCATTTTTTTTTTTTTTTTTTTTTTTTTTTTGTTAATATGAACATCCTTGTCTGTTCTAAAAAAATGTTTTTGTCTTTGTTTAAAACTTCATTTGGAATCAGGATTTTAGATGGCAGTAATCATTTCTTATTTCTTATTTAATTTTATTTCTTTATTTTCTTCAAATCTTTTGTCATATCAAAAAGAAACAACCCATATTTTTCATTATACAATTCCTACAGATTTTTATACCCAATTTAGTGCTTTCAGTTATCAAGGTAGCTGTTTATTGCAATCACTTTAAAACTGGATGGGTGACTGCTTAGGAATACCAAGTGTTGTTGGTGGTGTAATGGATAATGGCTTGGGATTGTTAATCTGAGAGCTGAGTTTCAATTTCAGTTGGGTCTGTTATATTCATATATGCGCAAATACCCTTGAAAAAGGTATGAATCCAGCTCTTCTCCACTCATCTATGGATTAATTACTAAAACTTGTATCACTAAACCATTAATATTTCCTCCCCTACCTGCCAAATTCTTACAATCTAAAAATATTTTCTGGCTTTATATAACCTGCAAACCTTGCAAAACATATGAATTCACCTCTTCTCTCCCCAGCTATAGGTTAAATTAGTACAATTTGTATCACTCAAACATTGTTATCCCCCCCACCCTCCAAAAATTCTTACAATTTAAAAGTATTTTCTGGCTTTAAATAACCTGCTGATAAGCCATAGAAAATGAATCAGTCAATCAATATTGATAACTGGGTCTTTTTAGATAACAATAATCAGATGATAATATTTAAACAAAGGATATAAAATTGTATTCATTATTATCAAATTCAATGCTATAAACAACTTTTGTAAAAATTTATTAACTTAAAATATTATTTTTTTTATTTCATTTAAAGTATAGTTTTGGGGACTTACTGATTTTAATAACAATGCCTGTTTGGTAACATAATTCAAAATTAAAATTAATGTAATACCTCAGGGTTGATCCAGGTCCACACCAACAAAATGTAATACTTCAACTCGATCCTGGCTTACAATCCAATCCTAGTTTGATCAATGGACTGATCTCTTTGATCCTGACCTGCCTTACCCAACGTTGTGATTATTTTGATTATAAGGAGGCCAAGATTGATTCGTCACAGGTATCCTCGTGTTGAGCTGGTCCAAGTCAAGCAAAGTCGTATAATAAAATTGAAAAAAAAAACTACATGAAATCTATATAAAAAATATTATTTTTATATCAATTCTGTATACAATGGTTCATTAGTAGTTGTGTTCGCATACAGGTGTTTGTTAACCCAGCCTGTTCCTAAATCGGACACAACACTTGGGTAAGCTGGTAAGTTTTTGGCTTGCAGAGTTATCAAAATTTGTTTTACTGTTTTGGTAAGTTTGGCGGAAGTTGGAGGTTCTTGTGTTTGGCAGGAAGCATGGAATCTCTCAGTGACCTCCGTCGGTTCCCTTCTCAGATCTCTGGCTGTCCCGCTGAACTCAACTTGAACTCAACTGTCTGAATGGCTTTCACGCATTCTTTTTTATGGACTCCAACTAGAAACTGGCATGGGCAAGATGTAGACTGGGTTTGAGTGAATCCCCTGATTTCCAACAAGAGTCTATTATTTTTGGTCTTGAGAAATCAAATTAGTTCATAATTTGGGGGAATTCTCCATCTCTCATGGAGGAGGTGGTGCAGACATTGCTCCACTCGGCTACCTCCACCTTCTCTTAGTACCATCTCTCACTATTGCTTCCCAGTGGGCATGAGCAGCCCCTTCAAACTCGTTAATGCCTCCTCTGTGCCTGCTACCCTTCAATGGGTGCAGATTACCCCTCATCCTTCCTTGATCGCTCTTCTGCACCTGTCGCCTCCAACATTTGGTCGTAGATTGATAAAAAAAATATGGTTTCAAATGTACTTTTCTCATAAATGAATTGACACATTTGGCTCTCTCACCTCTGACCCAAGAGACACTTTCCCAAGGAAATTTTTAGTGCTCAGCCGCAGGTGTTCAATTCATTGGTTTTTTTTTTTTTTTTTCATTCTGACATCTTGAAGAATGAATTCATTTAGCTTTAACTCAATTCTTCTCTTGTCAGGTTTAGGCATTGGTTGTCACCAGCTGTCAACAGCTGATTTGTTCGCACAAACTGAGAATGGCTTTCAAGCAGTCATTTGGTCCATTGTACATATTTCAATTCTCTGGAAACAATCTTGCTATCAGCCTGTTTTTCCAGTATTGGTTAACTCTTTTCATGCTAAGTAATTCATTATTATCTCGTTTTCAAGTTGCCATTTTGATTATTAATTACCAGCAACCCAAATAGTGTTACATTAATAATCTCTTTTTATTAATTTTTGAATAAATTAAATTTTTAATTAATTTCAAATAAAATATTTCTGATTGAGTGATTAGATAATCATATACAATATTATAATTAACCCTTTAGCATTCAACATGCTCAAACTCACCCCGTAAATAATGGCTCTCAAAGTCTCACTGTTTGTGTAACATCCTGCATTATTTACAATAATGTTGTGATATATTATAGCAGAGTATACATAAAACCTCTTACAGAAGGTAGCGAAGGAGAGTGAGAAGAAGGGACTAAGCATAAACTACAAGAAGATAGAATGTATGGTCATCAGTAAAAGGATGAACCTGAAATGCGATTTACAGGTCGCAGACACTAAAATCAAGCAGGTGTGGAAATTTAAATATCTGAGATGATAAGTGCGATATTGAGATCTGAAGATGTATTGGGATGGCCAAAGATGCTTTCCAAAAGCTAAGCAGAGTATTACGAGACAGGAGAATTTTGTTGGTAACAAAGAAAAGAGTACTGAACTGCTATGTGATATCTGTTCTTTATGGCAGTGAATGTTGGACAGTCTCCTCATAGATGAAGAAGAGACTTGAGGCAACAGAGGTATTGTTCTACAGAAGGATGCTAAGGATGCCATGGACTGAATATGTGAGCAGCAATGAGGTTTTGGAGAGGATGCAATAAAGGAGGAAACTTATACTTAACATTAGGAAAGAGACAGCTGAAATTTATGGAACACGTAATGAGGGCTTGGAGAATCTGATATTCACAGGATGGATAGAGGGAAAGAGGGACAAGGGAGAGCAATGCATGACATACCTAGCAGGCTTAAGCAAGTGGATGACAGAACAGGGTCTGCAAAAGTAGCAAAAGGATAAAACATATTGAGAAATAGAAGGGATAGGGGGAAGTAGAGAGTGAGGATAACCTACATCCTAAAGGGACATGGCATGTAAAAGATACATGGGTGGGTTACTGTGGATGGAACATTGAGAGCTGATATTTATGGGGTCAGTTTTAGGTGGGTTGAATGCTAAAGGGTTAATGTCTTTTTTGTAGTTATTATTTTTATTTTTTATTTTTTTTTTTAAATAAAATGTTTGGGACTGATTTTGATGACACTGTTTGATAACCATTAACTATGATATTGAATAATGTTTCCATATTGTTTTTTCAATGTTTTTATATTTAGAAATCTGGTTTCTATCTTTTTTTATTTTTTTCATTTCAGACTGCCTTTATCATTCAGTATGGAAAATAATTTTATGATGAAAAAAGTTTGGGTTAAAGTTTCAATTATTGTTATATTTGCATGTAACTGTGTGTAAGGCTGCATGGGTCTGAGAAGTTTTATCTGAAATTCTACCACTAACCATTTCCCCGGTGGATTTTTTTTTACCATTCTGGCTAACACCAACTTTTAAGCATGATGATGAACAAACTAAAAACAATTATGGTTCAAAAAAAAAAAAAAAAAAAAATGAATTGTCTTCCAAGATTTATTTCAATCCTTGGCTTTTCCTACATTTATTTTTTTTTTAATTTATTTTATTTATTTATAAGAAAACATTTTAAGTTTTACATCTGTCACATCTTTAAAGTTTTCCTTTCTTTTTTCTTCTTTAGAAACCAACAGTATGAGTTTTAAATAATGAAGTTTTACCTAGATTTTCTTTCCTCATATTTTATTGTTTTTTTCTCTAACCATTTATACATTCTACAATGACCATTAAGTAAGCTCAATTAAAAATTAAAAAGTAACCTCTAATGAAATATGAATTTTGTTTACTGATAGATCAGCATGACCACAAACATTAAAGTATCATCCATATCAAGTAGGCCCTCTCAAAAATATGAGTTCAGTATTATTTATATTATGTACAGGTTGTGATGGATAAATTGTCGACAAAATTATGCAAAAATGAAAATAACACTGACATCTCATTTTAGCAAATATATTTACCAAAATTACACAAAAATATCTTGAAATATTAAAGAGTAAATTTATTCAATAAAATCACCATTGGCTTCAACCACAGCTTCCAAACGACTTGGGAATCTCCTGCAACTCTTCTGGACAGTGTCCTTGTTTAAGGTGTTGAATGTTGCCATAATCCTTGCCTTCAGTTCATCTTTGATGTTGCAAGGAGTTTTGTTGGTTTCTCACTCAACTGTGCCCCATATATAATAATCAAGGGGGTTGCAGTCTGTAAAATTAAGTGGCCAGATATAAGGGGCAATGTGAACCTTGAAATTGTCTGACAGCCATGACGGCTTGTGTGGCATGGTGCAGAGTCCTGTTGTAGTAGTGCTGCCCTGGGTCAAGAGGGTAGCTGCTGGAAGACCTATACCTCCTCAAGGCACTTGATGTAGGCCTCTGTGTTAAGTTTGAGCCCCCACCAAGAAATTTGGGAGTTCTTTTCTTGTCAGAGCGAGTTTTTTTGAGATGTCATAAGTTTGTAATCACTGTTAGACTCATCCAACTCTTTCCGAATCCTCTGCACTGTCCTCAGATTGACAATGAAATTTTTGTATTGGAGCTTCTGGTGCAACTGCTAAGCAATACATTGTGTCATTTCCAAATTTCTGGCACAGTAAATTGCGTCATGGTGCTCTTTTTCTCACAGACAGTTCCTAACTCACCCTACTATATGCTGGGCAATCAACAAAATCAGAAACAAACAATGTGCATGTGCAAAATTAAAAATATATAATGATGACAATTTACCCATCGCTCTATGTACATATGGACTATTGTCCTCATCTTTGTTGTTGTTATGACAATTGTTTCAAACTGAACTCTATAGCCTAGTCCAGGGATTCTCAACTGTCGTGCCACAATACACTAGTGTACTACAAAATATTGTCACAGCATACACATATGTGTGTGTGTGTGTGTGTGTGTGTGTGTGTGTGTGTGGAAGTAGTAATGGTACAGTGTTAGTATTTGAATAAATTAAACTTTTTTTTTCAAATAATTCTTTTCGCTATTCTTTGATTATGTTATCTTAAATACTTTGTTTTAATAGTCATTTTTTAAAAATTATTTTTATTTTTGTAATTTAACTTTTTAAAATTTTCCTTTATTTGAATAAATGAATATTAACCTTTTTTTCATATGATTGTATTCAACATAAATTGTTTTATTCAAAATCTATGGTTTTATTTCATAACATTTAAATATATACCATTTAAAAATTTTGCTAAGTGTGCTGTGATATTTTCATTTACGCCTAGGTGTATCATAGGTTGAGAAACACTGCCCTTCTCAGATCTCTGGCTGTCCCGCTGAATTTTGTTAGTTTGTGAATTGGGTGACATAGTAATTGTTATTTATTATTTATTTAATACTGCTTAGTTATTGCTTGCCATGTCTCCACTGCATCTGAATCTATACTATCTGGCTCAGGAATTGAATATGTAGTAGAGACTCGTACATGGTTGAAACAGGATGAGAAATAACTGAGCAGTACTAAATAAGAACAAGGCATGATATCTGTAGGCATGGACAGTGGAATGAAAACAATCTACCTCTGTACATTAAATAAAAGGTTCAGTTTGAAATTCCCTGAAGGCTAACGGGAATGACAAGTACCTGGGGTTAGGCTGGAGTGCACAATGGCAGCAATTCCTTTAGATGTTGTGATGATAACAACAAAGATACGGATATTAGTTTGACATAAATAATACTATTAGTTCTTTAAATTTTAGTTGAAGGCATTTTTTTTTTTAAATCTTAGTTTTGGTAATATAATCTTGTTGATTTGTAAGCAGTTTTTTTCTTGTAAAAAAAAAAATAACTTACTTCTAAAATCTGATTAATATTGGAAAAATTAATATAAATATATACTGAAATAATTTTCAGGCTTAAATTTCATGTTAAAACAATTCAAGTTTTTAAAACTATTTTTTATTATATCTAAATTTATGATTTTCAAGTTTTATACCTATAAAGTAATTTATATTACATGTGGCAATAGATAAACATAAGGGTCTACTTGTAAAAAAAAAAAAAAAATAGGAAAAAATATTCGGGGAATATTTTTTGTGTATTAACATTCATTAGACCTTCCTCAAACTATATTTCATAATATTGCTGTAGTGTAAAAATTAATCCCAGACTTTTTATGCAGTTATTGGGCTTAACTGTTATTTACAAATGTCAAGTTTGAAACTATGCATACTTCATTTATATCAGCTTATATTGTTTTTATTTTCTGAATTTTTTAAACTTTTTTTTTCTTTTAAGCTTCTTTTGTTGTTTTATTTTTGTAAGCCCATGCACAAACTTGATTTTAAGATAAATAATCATTATTATTTATCTTAAATGAAGACTAAACAGATATACTTTTATAAATTCACGTAAATTATGGTTCTTTAATTAAAAATGTATATATCTATTTGTTTTTATTTAAAAGAGATCTTTTTGCAAAAACAAAATAAAAGTCTGTTTTCATATGCAGAAGGGTGACAGCTTGGGGATACCGGGTGCTATAAGGTTGGGTGTGTGAGTGGTGTGATAAATAATCACTCGGAATTGTAAATTGACAAGTAGAGTTCCAATTCCAGTTGGGTTTGTTATATTAACTTACCTACAAATACCTTTGGGAAAGGTATGAATCCATATCTTCTCCCTTAGATATGGGTTAACTAGTAAAACTTGTATCACTAAATCATTATCTCAAAAAAAAATAAACTTCTTACAATCTAAAAATATTTTCTGTCTTTAAATAACCTGCAAAAGGTTGATAAGCTATAAAAAAAAGACTAAATTAATCATATGCAGACCAACTAAGTCCACATAACTCTACAAAAAGTCAGGGGTTGATTCTGCACTGTACTTTTGAACAGGACTTCCCCTTCTAAATCTATAAAAACAATATTTTTTGATTATGTGATCAAGAACAAGGAGAAATAGGTTCATGCCTGACACAAGGACTATAGAACAAAAAGAACATCTTTTATGCGCTGTATTGCTTCAGAACATGTCTCTCCACTACTTCCTATTCTTTGTATCTCTAAGCAATGTTTATCTTCTTACTGTCCTTCACAGCCACATCATGTTGAAACATTGGTTCCTGTATGATTACTAAAGTTAAGCAACATTGAGCCTGGTTGGTACCTAGATGGGTGACTGCTTGGGAATACCAGGTTCTGTAAATTTGGATATTTATCTGGTATAAAGGGCTTATGGCCACATCATGTTTAAACACCAGTTCCTGTATCATCACTGAATTTAAGCAATGTTGTGCCTGGTCAGTACCTGGATGGGTGACCGCTTGGTGCTTTAAGCTTGGATGTGCGGGTAGTGTAATGGATAATGACTTGGAATTGTTAATCAGGGAGCCACGTTCCAATTCCAGTTGGGTTCATTATATTCACTTACATGCAAATACCCTTCAGAAAGGTATTAATCCATATCTCCTCACCTAGATATGGGTTAACTATTAAGGCATGTATCACTAATCATTATCTAAAAAAAAAAAATTTTAAATCTAAAAATATTTTCTGGCTTTAAATAGCTTGCAAAGTGTTGATAAGCCATAAAAAAGACTAAATTAATCATATGCAGACCAATTAAGTCCACATAACTCTATAAAAAGTCAGGGGTTGATTTTGCACTGTACTTTTGAACAGGACTTCCCCTTCTAAATCTATAAAAACAATCAATATTTTTGGATTTTGACAAATGTCATATACTGAGGAAAGTCTAATGAATGCTCATCTACAAAAATTATTTCCCCAAAACATTTTACCTTTTTTCCTTTTTCTTTATCAGTGCTCAAGTGTGTTTAAGCAGTGGGTTCTCTGTTAATCTATTTGTTATAATCTTAATATTTATTTAGGTAGCATTTTTTTATTGATATGTCCAATTAAAGGCCACAGACAAACAATGTTATTTGTTTTTCAGTTTTTGCTTAGCCTTTTCTTATTTCCCTACAAGTGTAACAATATCAGTCAATGGTTATTGTATGGAAAGAGAAATTTTCCATAGAAATTTCAAGCACTTATTTTTAGATATAAAACTAATAATAGAAAACTTGATATTCAATGTTGACTATAGGCATTTCAGTAAAGCAGAGTTGAAATATTTTCATCAATTTCTTTGCTTTTTCAGGAGCTTGTAATAAAAACAAAGATATTTATCATGCCCTATGAGGATAAATGTGATACCAGGGATAGTTTTGTAGTCTGTATTATAGAGTACTTGAGGTTACATTGCATATCCTCCAGAAATTACCTGGTTTTATTGGTGTCTGTATTATGGAATCCCTCCTGATGTTTTTTTTTCTTTTTTTTTTTTTAATTGAAATAGAGGCGATATAGCTTGGTGACCAGATCTTCTAGTACCAGGTTACATTTAGTCTTGCAGTTCTGAAAGGCTGGAAATGAATTTTGAGTAATAATCAGTTGTGAGCAGGACATTTTATCAGGAATGATGATGATAATAATAATAATAATAATAATAATAATAATGGGTGATGATATAAAAAATAATATAAAAATTTACATCTTTACAAAAAAAAAAAAATTAAAAAATTATTTAATGAGCTTTTGTTTGTTGTATCTCCATTTATTTTTTACTTTGTTCCTTCAAGTTATAGACAATCATTGACATTCATCACAACAATCATCATCATCATAGCTCTCCACAGATTTCTTTTCTTTATTATTTGTGAATTGCTATCAGTTCTTGGAAGAGATAGTACAGTGCTTTCCCATTGCTTTTTCTGTGGTTTTGAATTCAGAGTTGTCCTTATTGTTTAAACTGAAAATAAAAATCTAAGTCCCAGAAATGCTAAAATCCATTCAATAAATTTTCCTTTCTTTGCAAACCTGGATAAATGTGCCCTGCAATAAGACAGGGTGTCAAAAGGACAGTTTTTCACATGACATCATTTTTTTTAACAGCCTTCACTCTTTGGCAATACTTATTGTTTTAAAAAGTGATGATTAGAATTGGGATAAAACATAAACATATGAAAGTGAATTTATACATTTTCTTTGTTCTTGAGAATTTACAACAAAAATAATAAATACTATTTATTTATTAGATTGTTTATTTACACTATTTATTATATTATTTATAGGAAAAATTGTCCAAACATTGGCTAATTACCACTTGATTCAAACTTTATAAAATGGTAAATAATAAGAATTTCCTTATGGCTGGTTTTGATAATTTAGTAAATGTTCATATTACTTTTCTTTATAAATTGATAAATATTGCATTGCATTAGTTCTAATATTATTAATAATGAAGAAAGAATAAAATTGTCTAAGCAATTTTTTGTTGACATGAACTTAAGTGCCCATATTTGACAGTGTCAAAAGGACTGTTTTTCCCATGACACAGTTTTTTAACAAACTTCACTCTTTGACAATATTTATTGTTTTAAAAAATGATGATTAGAAGTAGAATAAAACAAAGATATGGAAGTGAATTGACAACAAAAATAATAAACATAGTTTAATATTTTTGTTATAAATTCTCAAGAATAAAAAAATGTATAAATTCAAATTCATTATGTGTTTAGAAATAAACATTACAAAAGAGTGAAGGCAGTTAAAAAAAAAAACCAAAAAAACATTATCATTAGAAAAACTATCTTTTTGACACTGTATCTTATTGCAAATACATTTATTCATGTTTGCCAATTTTCTTGCTTTTCCTTCCCTTCACTCTAACAAATATCAATATGTCTTGATCAGCCAATCTTTCACATTCCATTCATCAATTGTTATTTTATGTTCAAATTTGGATTCACTATGCAAATTGGAAATCATTTTTTTATCACAAAAATATTTATGTAAATAGATTTTTATATAATTTCAATGATTTAATATAAAATCAAAATGAGCCTTAACATATTGACTGCCAAACACAAGATAACTCGTGATTGTCAGTTCCTTATAACACCGACTACAAATCATTTCATGCTTGGCATTTTCTGATACATTTTCATCTTGAGGTGCTAACAGAAAGTTTATTCACAGTTATACTTTTAGTGTGAAAACAAAACAATGTTAAGATGTCAGTTGAAGCTATAAATCAACTCATAAAAAACTTTTTATTGTCTAAACTGGTGTTTGAAGTCAAATTTTGTTATTGACTTCTATTGGAGGTCAATATGTTAATGAGATTTTTGAGGTTGTTTTGATTTTACTAAAGTTTTTAATATTTGGAGTTAAAGAATTCTTTAAATTTTCCTCAAATGTCATCAATTTCATATGTGAAAATGCTTCTTCCCATCTGGACATCATTCCAAAATGACAGAGATAATTCTCAGCAAATGTTCTTAGTTCTGAAAAATGTTCACAGAATGATGTTCACCAGAAATTAATGGCAGAACCTTTTGGGATTAAGGAGACCCTATTAAATTACATTTTCAATAATGAATGTGTTCTCAAATAAGTAATTTCTATCTGCATGTTACAAGGCATCATTATAGCTTTTTTTTTTTTTTTTAACAAAGTAAAAATAGTTTAAAAAATGCAAATATTCCTTTGTTTTCTCATTTTCCACATTATTTACTGAATTCACATTTAGATCCATTTTCTGATTTTCTCGTGTTTATTTTCTTTTGTATTGAGATGGGGCAGAACATTTTCTTAAAAAAAAACAACGAAATGAAAAGTTCCAAACTTCAAATATTCAAAAAGAATAAATAAAATAAAACTTCTGTAGCGTAAGTCATTTGTAAAGTGATTGGCAAAAGTCACTGGGATGTAATGCTCCTCATCTAGTCATAAAATGCACCACTTATGGATATTAAAACTGTCATTAGTTGAAAGTCTCAGACCTAACCAAAAATTTTTTATGCCAGAATTACCTCCCTTGACATTTTGTAATCTCCCCTTTTATATCAATTCGGTTCAATGATAATTATTCAGTGTGTATGATGAATTTAATGTAACATGATTTCTCAACTGTAATAATCACCTTTTTAAGTGATATTTTCAAAGAGACATGAGTGTTTCAACTTTTAACCACTCTTAAAATGAAGTTCATTACATTTCGGTCAACAATCTCGCGTATTTCAGCAATATATCTTTTTTTTACATTCAGCAGAATCAAATCTATGAGCATTTAATTTAGCTTGATATCTGATCATCTGCATAATTTTTTTTTATTTCATACAAATCATAAAATTGGCATTAATAAATTGCAATTAACATGTGTTTTAAAGTAAAAAAAAAAAAAAAAAAAGCAGATCTTTATTCACAGCACTATAATGTGGGGAGCTGAAGTCATCTGCCTTTTACTGAAAATGAAACAAGACGAAGTTTACTTGGCTTCAAGCTATCACAAAAGTATCTTTTATCTAAAATTATTACTGCTCATAATTTTCAAAATAAATGATAAAACATCATTGTTATTTTTTCCTGAAACATAAGCTTCTAAAATGTTATAAATTTGCATGTTGAAAAAGTATACAGATCTCTCCATGTACAGGTGAAAAGCAAAAAACGTGTAACTATTTTTAAAAAATATTGTTTTTTTGTTTTTGTTTTGGTTTTTTAATTTTGATCATTAAATTTCTCTATATTGTTATTCTTGCAACATGCAGAAAATAATTGAAATGGCTCTTTCTCTTTTCTTTCTGCCTAAATTCTGCTGAAAACCAGACAAAATAAAAAAACAACAATAAATAAAGGTGCCTAAATTAAATATAGTACGAATGTTTCTACCAAATATACCCTTTTTTTCTTTTTTTTTTTTTTAACCGTTTCTATAAAAATAATATACTTTATATTTTTGCACTATAACTTTCTTTGCCCAGTAGATATGAATTGATGACATGCACTATTAAAAAGAAAATGAAATTCTGTATCAGCCGATGTCAGTTGTCAACTTCTCTAAAATTTTTTCCAACCCAATGAAATATTCTGAAACGGGATTATTATAGTGACTAAAAGTTTTAATTTTTGAATTTTGACAGTTTTTAGTTAAACGTCTACTTTTCTAATCTCAAAATGTCTATTTTTTTGAAAGTCTGGGGTCAACAAGACTAGTGCCCAAACAGCAGCAATTGATAGTGCCATCCTGAAAAAAAAAATGAGAAAAAAAAAAAAATAACACTCATAAATCCAAAATATTTTAATAGTTTTGAATATTTCATTAATCCAGATAAGTTATTGTTTCAGATTTTATAA